CCCCAAAACCCCAAAACCCCAAAACCCCAAAACCCCAAAACCCCTTTAGCATATAAAGAAGTTGAGAGGAATCAATTATAATTGGCTTATGGAAAATAGTAAAGAAGACACTCAGAAAGAGAGCAAGATTTGGAATAGCCCGACTGAGAAGTATGAAGACGTATTTGAGAACATGACAATGCAGTCCTCTGTCATGTTGTATAGTATAACACAAGCCAAGAAATTCTCGAAGATCTGTGAGGTTGGAGCTGGGCCAGGACTAGGAGCGAGGATGTTCATCGGAAATATCATGAAGAAGGGAGCTTATTATTTCTGCAGTGATTTGTCTGACGAGATGATGAAAGCTTTTTATAGAAACTTCCAGAACTGTGACTCAGCTCTGAACCCAAGAGTGAAGCTAAAATGGATTAAAGATTTTGAAACCATTGATGTCAACCAACAAGTTGGAGACATGGGAGAAGATATTGACAAGAAATTATTTTTAGTTAAAGCAAATAATGAGAAGCTTCCATACCCAGACGGATGCTTTGATTTGTATATCTCAAGTTTATCGCTCGAGCATGTTGACAATTATATGAACCAACTCAATGAGTCTTACAGAGTTTTGGAGACTGGAGGGGTCGCAGGATTTACTGTTCCTGGGAGACGTGAAAATTGTAATATGCTAAGTTTAGTGCCTGACGTACTTGAGAGCCTCGGTCATGAAATCCCTCCGCCTCTTCACAAGCATCCAACTTATTTGAGCGATAAAGAAACTATGGAAAAAGATCTTAGAAATGTTGGATTTAGTATTGTGAAAATGTATTATACTGAAGGAAATATTATTATAAAAAACGTAACGGAGGTGAAAGATATTATAATAAAGTCTCCAAACATGTGCAGAAACTTGGAAAAATTAACAGAAGAGCAGAAGGAAGAATTCTTTGAAGAGCTTCAGAAACAATGGAGCTTGAAGTATGGACCAGACACTACAGAGCCATTGCACCAAGAACTCCTTGTCATCATTGCTACCAAATAGCTCTTTATTCCTACTAATCACTACACTCAATTTTCTCTCCTAGTCTCGGGGTTTTGGGGTTTTGGGGTTTTGGGGTTTTGGGG